AAAATGAGGACCTAATGCCGGGGGCTTAAGTGGAGAGGAAATGTTTTGAGAATGATGAGGGCAATGAATGTACAAATGCGTTCTACACAATTGATGTATGTATAGATTGTGATAAGAGTTGTATGAGCCCCTAATAAAATGATTTAAAAAAAAGAAACAATAAAAAAAACCCAATTTGGAGATGAAAGGATCACGAAGGAAGCATTACCTTGAGATTCTTTAACTTTCTTTTATCTTTGAGGGTTTACTTGCCATGCTTTTAACGGGCACATTAAACAATTGTGCGTGTGTGTGAACACATATACGTAGCAAAACATGCTCTTGTTGGGTACCTTTGAGTAGGTTCCGGGAACAGAATGAAACACTGCTGGTCCTGCATCCTCAACATTGTTCTTCCATGATTGCATCTACTGTATCCATCCATATTGTCGATGGTCTTCCTTCTATTGTTGCCTCTCCATTTTACCAGCCATGATACCCTTTTCCCAGGGCTGGTCTCTCTTGATAACATGTCCAAAGTAAGTGGGACAAGGTCTCGCCATCCTTGCTTGGAAGGCTCTGTGAGCACAATGAAATGTTAAGGAATTCCCTTTCCTATCAAGGCTATCTACAATTTTTTATGATCCACACAGTCAGATGTTTTTCATAGTCAATAAAACACAAGTAAACGTCTTTCCGGTATTCTCTGCTTTCATCCAATAATCTATCTGACATCAGCAATAGTATTCCTTGATCCATACCCTCTTCTGAATCTGGTCTGAAGTTTTGGCAGGTCCCTGTCAATATACATGCAATTGTTGAAAAGGATAGTTTCACTTTAAACTTTAAAGGTTATCTCAGAGTAGTTTCAAGGGTTATCTTAGGGCAATAATTTCATCCTCAGGATGATAGTTCATGTAAGCAACAGGGATATCATCTGCCAGATTGCTTATGCCCATAAAGAATAAGATATGGTTGTCTGTGCAGCTCATGCTCACGAACTTCCCAAGTGTGGTGTGAAAGTTGGCCCAACCAATTAAGCTGCAGCATATTGTATTGGGCTGCTACTGGCCTGCAGCCTTCTTCTTCTTTTTTAATTAAAAGATCATTTTATTGGGAGCCCTGATAGCTCTTATAAAAATCTATACATTAAAAAAATCTATACATTAATTGTATCAAGCATATTTGTACATATGTTGCCATCATTATTTTCTAAACATTAATTTCTGTTGAGCCCTTGTAATCAGCTATTCTTCCCCCCCTCCCTTGTGACCCCTTGATAATTTACAAATTATTATTATTTTGTCTCCTGCGGGTGAGGTGGGTAGTGGTTATGTGTCAATTATTGTGATCGGTTCCCCCTACCTTGCTGGTATCACTACTCCCATTCCTGTTCCTGGATTCCATGTGTCATGAGTGCTTCTCTGTACCTGTGTACATTCTCTGATCTAGCTGGCCTGCAGGCTTCTTAATAGATTTGGTATGGACAAGATCTATGAAGGCCAAGTGGAGGTAACTGGAGATGAATACAATGTGGAATGCATTTATGATCACCCTGCTATCTGAATGTGGCCTTGTCAGGACTGGACTACCAGTAGAAATAAAGTGGAGCTCTGAAGGGGGCTATGGATGGAAGCTTGTCTGTATTCACAGTACCAAAAGATTCCCTAGTTAAGATTCAGAAAGCAAGAAATTCATTGCAGAAGTACATTGAAACACACCATGGGTCAGAACATTGCAAGACTACACACATTAACTAATGGAAGAGGATAAAGATGCTTACAAGAAACAATTTTCTCAATACATAAAGAACAGGTACATGCTACTATATGAGAGACTCTGGTTTGTGAGAAGAAGCTGAAGAATGATTTTGAAAAGAAGAGGTGGCATCATCCTAAATGGTCTCTTGCACAAAAGGAAGATCAGGTAGCTCAGAAGAAGTCAAGCTACCTCAGAGCTCAGGAGAGGTAAACCAAACTAATTTTCCACGAGGGTTTCCCACAGAAAATCAATAAACTAATGCACCTACAGGGGGAAAAAACCATTTTCAGGCTAGGAAACACACGGGACAGTTTTACCCTTTCCTATAGGGTCACTGAACCTATAGCAGTGAGTTAGTTGGTTGGAGGACACCACTATCATTTGACAGGATATTTTGTGTTTGTGGGGAGCAATACTTGCTTTTGGGGGTTTGAAAATGATCCAAAAACGAAACGTCCCAAAAATGTTAGGATAAGAAAAATTCAAACTTTGACAAAATAATGTTTTTACCACTGAATGAAACTAGGTATTTTAAAAAGGTTTTCAACCTGGACCTTCCTTTGTCCTACTTATGTTTGTGAACCTTTAATTGTCCATTCAGCACTTAATCTAATTACAACAATTAAAACCTTTTAAAAACAAAACTTTTTAAGGGAAGAGCCCTTTGTGTAGCGTCTTGATATCTGAGCCAGTACTATTTTGAATGAGGACTGACCTCGGGTAATCTGATCAAGGAAGAATAGCTTTTCAAATAGTTTTTTTCAGAGATACTTCTTTCCTTGAATTCCTAACTGACACTTTTTTCCCATTTCACCATTCATTCATCTCATCTGAGTTGTCAGAGTTGTACCCTTTTGATAGCTATATTTTTTCCTTCCATTCTTTCTCACTTTTATTCAGTAGTTTTTGTTTTTCCTCTTATTTTCAGCAACAGACACGGAAAGGAGCGATTGCAGTCAACTGTTATTTTAAAACACTTGTTTACACCATGTACCCCCTTTACCACTGACACCAAACTGACTCATTGTGTGTGCTTTCATTCATTCTTTTAAAAAAATTTCAATTATTTTTTTCTTCTTTATTTTTACTTTATTTTATTTACTTAATCGTTTTGTTAGGGGCTCATACAACTCTTATCACAATCCATACATACATCAATTGTGTAAAGCACATTTGTACAATTATAATCACGTGCACAAAAACAAGACAGAGCAAAACCAAGCAACAATATACAGCAAAACAACAACTACAAACCAATGACAAAAACAAAACAAAACACAACAAGAAAGAAAAGCTTGTAGTTAGTTTAAGGAATGTTTGTTGGCCTTTAGGAGTGTTTTCTAGTCCAGTCTGTTGGGGCACCACGCCCTGGCCCCAAAGTCCACCTTCAGCATTCCCTGGGGACCTCGCTCCATTCACTTGCTGTTCTGTTGCACCCCCTTAGTGTTTTGCCTCGGTGTGGCGGCATCAGATCCAGCGCAATTCCCATACTGTGCCTCCAGTGTTGTCCCCTGTAGGGCTATGGGTCAGTGAGGGCTATGTCTCATAGTGGGGCCGGCCATGTGGTCCTCTCTGTGGAACGGCTGCTCTAATCGGGAACCTCGTCCTCAAGGCTTGGTGGGCCAGGATGTGCTCCACTCTCTCCTCCTCCCATTTCATTTGCTCCCGTGTGCTCCGATCAGATATGTCCCTCTCCCGGAGCTGCAGATTCAATGCCGTCCTTTAAAATAAATTCTAGCGGGAAGGGCAGGTGTCCACGTACATAGTAGTTGGGATTGGGGCCAACCCCTCAGACCTCTCCACTGGTTCTCTACTCCACGCCAGCATGTTGCATTCACAGCTTGGAGCACTGGGTTGAACTTTTTTTTTTTTTTTTAATTACACCACTACCAAGCCTGGGTGAAGGGGGCAAGGGAAAAGAGATGAGAGCGGGAGGAATCCAGGAAGCCAGAAGAGGAGGAATTCTACAAGGCTCAATGAGAACGAGCTGTATTTAATGTAAAAATGGGAAATGGATGTGCAGCGCTAACGATGCAGTATGAGGATACAGAATTAAATCCAATAGCATAAGGCTTTCCCTGTGTTATATGTCATCACAATGGAAGGCATGAAAAGTGCCTTCCAATTGATGTTGATACCATCCAATCTAGTTCCCTTAGGCAAGATGGTGCAAGAAGTGATTGGAGTTAAAAGTGCCCTACCCTTACCTAAATTGCTAGCAGACATGGAGAATCAATATGTGATGAATCAACAGAGCTTTTTCCATGTAGCTATAAAAATGTGTTGTCTGTGGTACATTATTAAACACTGGAAAGGTGTGCCACAATAGACCTCTCTGTCCAATAGATACGAATGCTAGAAAAATAGGGAACACTTCATGAATTTGCCTATCATCCTTGCAAATACGGCCATGCTAATCTTTTCTGTATCATTCCAATTTTAGCCTATGTGCTGCTGAAGCGAGCATGCCAACCATCATATTTATTAAACAGTTTTTGTCTCAGAAGCTGAGCTTGACATACGCTTAGATGAAGACAATTATTTTGTCTACCTACCTATCCTTGTCCTACCTATCTGTTCCCTTCCTCCATTTTGCCTCCTCTTTTTCATTCTGTCTGCCTCATGTACAGAAAGGGGGAAGTATTAGAATTAAGGTAGGAGGCAAAAACTCTGAAAAGGATCACATTAGAAGATCTTAGATAGAATGGAAGAAAAATATGGAATAAAACTCAGAATCATAAGAGAGACCACGATTGCTGGTCAGATAAAGATAGGTGGGACCCCTGAGACTATGGCCTTTAGTTACCCTTCAAGTCTGGGACTGAACTCGTGCCCATAGAATAATCAACTGTAGGAGCAAAAAGGCAGCATTTACCCAAGGACAAAGTAAGAAGGAGGAAAGGAAACAAGAAGCATGAAGAGGAAGTATGATAAGGAGATTGCAGTCATTGACATGAAACAGCTGTGTATGACTTGTTGGATGTAAAATTGATATGCATTTTAAACCTTCACTTAACACTTAATTTACAATGGAAAGTTTTTTTAAAAATGAATGATGGTAGGCCAAAGTATAAAATTAAGTGTTAGGACCATGAAACTTAATTTCTTTTCTCAGCTTGTTGTTTGGTACCACTGAGTCAATTCCAACTCATAGTGACACTGTGCCAACCTCAAAATCATTGGTATGTTTGAGGTCATTGTTGCAACCATTGTGCCATTCTATCTTGTTAAGGGGCTTCCTCTTTTTTCATGACTGTCAAGACATTTTTCTTCAGTTCATAATGTAAAAGAGACTATGTTGACATAGATAAATTCCCAGTACCTTCAGTTTTCTAGAGATGAACTGAATGGTTGGTGTTACCATATTCAGAAGTGTCATGAACCTTGATGGAGCTTCTTGAGAAAGAGTTTTTATTTTTATCTTTTACTCCAATTTTTCCATGAACTCTTTGACTTCCCCTCGCAAATAAGGCATTTAGTTTAAAAAACACTGTGCTTTTAAAGGGAATTTAGTGCATTGTTTTATATAGATTAGAAAGCACTGCTAATTTGTAAAAATCATTTAAATATTAACACTTATTCCCTATTAATTTTTATTTTTAATGAGAATCAGGTAACTAAAATATACTAAGCGTGTTGAAATGGTTGCACATTAAAAAGTTGATTTTTCCTCCCAAAAGTGAATTTTTCATGAATTAAGCCTGATTATTTAAATTATGGAGTTAGACTAGAATTACACTTATGGAATCTGTGTTTCTATACTTTTATTTTATGGCTTTAACGAAGATTACTCTTAGTTTGAATTCAGGAGGCCAAGGGAGAACTAACCACTGCGAGGCAGCTCCGTCATTAAGATACTCAGTTGTTAGTTGCTTACCTGTGGCTTCCTAATCTTGCCATGTAGAGATTGCTGGCAATTTAAGTTTCATCCGAGTGAGCTGTTGGTCCATGTAAACTTGATTTTAGGTTTTTAATATTTTTTAATTTTCAGAAAATATTGGAAGGTGATTTGAAAAATAGGGAACAGGTGAAAAAGAACACAAGTGTTTATAGGACCAGAGAAATTAGTAGGAATAAAATAATGTTCACGATAAAATCAAAGAAATGAAGGGCTTGTAAGGACGCATTAAGTTCTTCTAGTCTACCTTTATGTCTGTCTTTAAAGCACTCTAAGGAGTCACTGACTTACTCAATAACATTTCTTACAACAAGATTTAAAAATAATTTGTAAGTAAGAGGTCTTCTCTGGTAGAATGACGTTGTGAGTCAGAAAATACTCTTCTGAATTTCCTTCTGTTATCCCTGCCTATTCCTGTGTGTCTCTAGTCTTTTCATGGTCATTCTCTGAAATGTTTTAAATTCCCTGAAATTTTCAATTAAGCAGTAGTGAAAATCTCTCATAGCTGTAGGCTATTGACTCATTTGTGTCTTATTGAATGTGCAAGCAAAAACTGAAGACACTACAGGCTAATAGCAAAAAAAAAAAAATAACAAAACTGGGAAATACATAGTAAAGAGTAGTTTAATCAACCTACTCTAGTAAAGGTATAGTGCAGAGACCTGTCCAGCATCTAAGAGTAATTGGCATAGACGTTATAAGGAATTCTGCTTTGTGTGGTGCTTTTCCTGGATCAGCAGTAGATTTTTTTTTAAATTTAGATGTATGTGTTTTCTTCTTATTTTTAAACATTTTACTAGGAGCTCTTACAGATATTACAATCCATAGTTCCATTAGACCAAGCATACTTCTACAGTTGCTGCCATCATTATTTTTCGTACATTTTCTTCTTGAACTCCTTGATATCAGCTCCCTCTTATCCCCTCTCTCTCCTACCCTACCACTCCCCTGAACCCTCAATATATTATTTATTATTATTGTTGTTTTTAACCATAACTTACACCATCCTTTGTATCCAGTCACCTAAAATTCTGTTTGTTCCATTCTAGTGGGGTTATAGAGTCATCACTATCAGTTCCTCTCGCCCCCCCCCCCCATCCTCGGAGTCATTACTCCCCTTACTGTTTCTGAGGGGTTTATCTATCTTGAGTTTTGTGTATCGATTGTACCAATGTATGTACACATGTCTAGCAAGATTAGTGAGGTAAAACTAAGGCCATAATAGTGGGAGCAGGAAATTTTAAACAACTAGAGAATAGTTATGGGTTCATTGCTCTACTGCACCCTGGATATATCGTCCCTTCCGTATGGCCTGTCTGTGAGGGACTCCAATTGTTTTACAGGTGGACCTTAGGTTATCACTTTGCCTATGTTCCTTCACGTCCGTTTGATTGCTTATTTTTGAACTTCTGAGACCTATTTCCATTTATACCTCATGATCACACAGACTGGTGAGCCTCTTCCATGTTGGCTTTATTGCTTCCCTGCTAGATGGCCGCTTGTTTAAACTTCAAGCCTTAAAGACCCCAGACTCTATATCTTTTAATAGCCATCAGCTCTCTTCACCACATTTTGTCTTTAGTGATTGTGTCGGGAAGATGAATATCATACATTGCCACATTGTTAGAACAAACCATTCTTGTACTGAGGTGGGATTTAAGTAGAGGCCCAGAGTCTGTCTGCTTCCTTATTGTATTTATTTACATACATACATACATACATAAATTTACCTATCTTTATATATATTTATATCTTTACTTATATACTTATCTATCTATCTATATATATATAATTTTTACTTCCTTGTTGTTTCTTCTATTTCTTTTTTCTTTCCTCCTGACCCACTTTCTTCTTCAATCATTGTTCGCCTCACAGGAACTCCTTTTGGGTACATCTCATGACCAAACATCACCAGGGACACTACACCCTCCTCACTGTCGGTTTTAGGTCACTTGCTATTCCCCTGTCCCTGATGTATTGGCTCACTGCACTGTCCTCCCCCCGCCCCTACTGCTCCCCCAAACATCAAGGCTATTACTGTCTCCTTGAGGTTGTTTGTCCTGTCTATCTTACATAGATAGACATAGCAGGTTTTTTACAACTTTATTTTCCAAGTTAAACCTTAAATTAAGTGGTTAATTGTGGTCTGCGAGTTAGTGAATTTTTAATTACTGTAGAAAACCACTATTTTACTTCTTTAACGGTAACTCATTTAAATAGTGTATTGGGAGTTTTAAAATTAATTGTGCCAGAACTGTAACATTTATGTTATTTAAAATAAATAGGGGTGGAAGATAGGGAGGGTGAGGGGATCTCAGGAGTAAGTAATGAAGACAGGAGGAGGAGGGAGCACCAGAACGGATTATGATTATATAACTCATTTAAAGGCAATTTAACCATGGGGGTGGGGGGGATGTTCTAAAATTGATTGTGGTAATAATTGTACAATTATTCTGGATATGATTGTATGATTGAACTATTGTATGATATATGGGCTAGGTGCCAATAAAATGTAAATAAATAAAGCAGAGGTTTTCAAACTTTAATAATATATCAGACTCACCTAGAGGGATTTTAAAAACGCAGATTGTGGGCCTTAAGTCCTAGAAGTCTGCTTTACTAACAGAGTAGGCCATAGAATTTACATTTCTAACCCCCCAAGGTGATGGCAGTGTTGTTGATCCTGAATACTTTGAGAACTGCTGCAGTATGATAGTTAATGGCAGAAGTAGGACAGGTGAATATGATTTGTGCTAAATGAATGCCAAGCTGCTTGAAACTTGGTGAGTCCCAGCAATGATCCTTTAATGTAGGGTTTTTGTCTTTGTTCTCCACAGATTGGAGCATATGACCAACAAATATGGGAGAAATCTGTTGAGCAAAGAGAAATCAAGGTAACAAATTTAAGACATTTTATATCTTGTGAAACAGTTTTATAAATGATCACATTTTTATTGAATCTTTTAATGTAATTTTAAGGTATAAATTAATATTATTTATTTTCTCCAGACTTTCAAATAAAGAGGTAAACTTTTTAGAATCATGGTATAGTCCACTTGTCTTTTCTTTTCTTCCTCCTCCTTTTTCTTGCCTTCAGTCTTTTAAATTTTATTTCTAATGATGATTTTTGTCAGCCCTTTCTCCCTTTACTTGTCACCTTATACTTCTAGTTTGCTTTTCCTCCCTTTTGATGCTGTCATTGCTCTGTACAGTTTATTAAACTGGTAAGTGTCTCAGAATTGTTCCTGCCTGAGTGACTGTGCAATTGCTGCTCAGTTTGATTATCGAGATTTGCTTTTTGGTGCTACTAACAGAATGACTTGGATGCAAAGAGTCGCTGAAAACTTGATTAATTCTTTTTAAAAGGATTTATGGAAATAAAGATAAAGTGTGTTTTTTGTAAAAGGCAGTTTCTTTTTGAGTATGTAATTATCTCCCTACACTGATAAGACATTCTGATAGGCTACCTTGCTAGCATGAAATCGATTTTGTAACTAAATTTGTTCTGTTTCTCAGCAATTTTATATATATATATATGTGTATATATCATTTGCATATATAGTACTAATCTGTGTGTTCCTGCACGAGCTAAATATAACCTAGGCCCAGAGAATATTACTTTAGGTGCTTGACATTTTCTGTTTTGTACAGAAAGGTTTAGATTGAAAATCACTATCTATAGATACTTAAAAATGTGTTCCCAAATCTGGCAGTATTCAGGCAAGTAGCTCTAATAAAAGAGCAAGGTTTCTTTTCATTTGTGAATTAGGATCTTTCAACTATTTTTATGAAGGATTAATGCAGTTAGCAAAGATTGGTAAGCGCCTACTATATGTTAAAAATAAGATTAACTCCTAGGGAAAGAAAGGTGAAATTACTTATAGTTTTGTAAGTAAAACACATAATTAGAAAGCTGGTAAACTTTAAAAGAGAGGTATGTACAAGTCTGTGTGAGGGAGGGCAAAGAGAAGTAGCCTTAGGGAGTTTAGAGAAGTCTTCCCAGAGGAAGTGACTCATGAGCTGTTTGACAGACAAGAATGAGGAAGATATTCCAGACAGAATGAAAAGCATATAGAAATATATGTGAATGAAAACCACATTGATTAAGGGTGGGGTTGCTCATCCACATTTTGTAATTGTTGTTAAATAAAGTAGACACATTTAACAAGTTGAATTGGCAAAAGTTGTATGGTACAACAACAACAAAAGTTGTATGACAACAACAACAAAAGTCCCCGCTGAAGCTGCTTAGGTATAACCAAGTATCTCACTGGGTTTGGTTCCATAGTCTGAAGGCAGAGTCTTAGTTTCAAGTTATGATCTGGGTAAGGATGTTGCATCCCAACCTATTCTTATAACGGATTGGCTCCTCATAGCAGATCCCATTATGGAGATTAGTACTTTGTGTTAGATCACATGGGGGAATTACTAGGTCTTAATTGCAAAGACACCGAGAAACCTAGTCCAGCCAAGTTGACATAAAATCCAAACAGAGGGACAACCTCAAAGATGAGCCCTGACAGAAAAGATTGTCTACCTCAATGAATGAAGAATCTATAGTTCAAGCCCAGAAACTGGTAGAAGACATAGCATTACTATTGATGGAATAGCTACTGAAGTTGGAATCTCACGTAATTCAACATTATCAATTTTAAGAGACATTTTGGCCTCAGCAAGCTTTAGGCTTGTTGGGTACCAAAAGTGTTATGCAAAAAATCAGCCAACTCAAAGAGTTAATCTTTCCAACCAGCCTTTCAAGTAACATCAAAGCTTTTGAAGACAATTTCATAGGATGAATTGTAAGTGGGTGTGGGTCTTGGATTTACTAACATAATACTGAGTGCTAGGGCTAGTCCTAACAGTGGCTTCTGAGGGGATCACTTGTGCCTGTTAAACTCAAGGTAGAAAGGTCAGTTCAGAAAGTTAATGACTTTTTTCAAGATTCCCAAGGGATAGTTTTGATTGATTTTTCGTAAAGGATGCAGGACATCGTGGGTTAAGACATTTTCAGAAAGTTGAAAACTCCTTTGGTGAGAAAAATGGTCAAGAAAATTGCACTGTGGGATTTTTTCCCCCCTTCAAGACAGTGCACCTGCTTATTCTTGGATGGCAGCACGGGCTGTCCTACAGACTTTGATGGAACTTTACCATCCGCCCTGCCGCCCTGCTGTAGCCACCTTTTTGTTCCCAAAGCTCAGTGCTTAAAAGGAGCACATTTGAGTTTCTCGAAGATGACAAAATTGCTATTTTGACATGATATAATTTGGAGAGTTCAAAACTCTTCTGGGAAGGGCTATAGAGATATAAATGTTGCCTTCATAAGTGTATAACCCTAGGTGGTCAATATGTTCAGAAACAGCAATCTTCACATTTTGATTTTTGTTTAACAAGAATTTCTATGATTTTATACCCAAACTTTCTAACTTAGTCTCATAGATACTGTGAAATAATTTCTTCATTATCTAGCAAAAAAACAGTGATTACTAAAGAAATCCATGAAAATGTTATCTCCTGGAAATACATAGTTTAAAAATTAAAGACCAACTCTCATAGTTGCTATTGCTAAAATCTGATATCCTTTTTAGGCTAGAAATTATATTTTCTAAAACATTTTAGAAATAAATGAAAACATAATATCACTTTCTGGTCAAGAATTTGACCAAAATTTAAAAGTTCATGCTGTGGAATTTTCCCTGTTTTTGTACCTACTAGGGTCTTAAAGCGTCAATAAAAGGAATTATTCTATTTAAAGTCATCACAGAGATAAAAGGGTATGGAAGAAATTAATCAAGATTTCCAGGAAGTAAAATGGATGGTTTTAACTTCCATGCTGTAGGAAGCCTAGATCACTGAACAAAAGTGCTTTCTAACTTTCACACTCATTGCTTTCAAATTGATCCAGGCTCACAGCAACCCTGTATATATAGGGTAGAATAGAACTCTTCCATAGGATTTCCAAGGCTGTAACTTGATAAGAGAAGCTGACTGCCACACCATTTCCTCATGAAATGGCTAGTGGATTTGAACTGCTGCCCTTAAGTTTAGCAGCCCAACACTAAGTGGGTAAACCCACTCCATCAGCCGAACTTATTTTCTAACCTTAAACAATCTTCTTTTTAGTCTTTTGGCTCAGTGTTATCTGTGTACTTTAGAGACTTCAAAATTCCACTTTATACTATCTTGGAGCCATTGTACTACAAGAATATACTCTGGGAGTTTAAATGTATATTCTATAAGGAATGTGCCATTTTGATTCTTGGGAACTAATTGCATTAATTGTGCTTGATTGAGGAGTCTCTGGTTGTGCAGCAGTTAAGTACTTGGTTCGGAACCACAAGGTTGGTGCTTCAAACTCACCAGCTACTTCCCAGGGAAAAGTGATGGCAGCCTGCATCCATAACAGTTATACCCTTGGAAGTAATACTATGGGGCAGTTCCACTCTGTCCTATAGTGTGCTTTCTGTGAGTCAGAATTGACTTGACGCAAGAGCTTTGGGTGGTTTTGGCACAGCTTCCTAGGTTTATGGAACATTTCTCCCTCTTTTCAGAAAAAAAGTTTACTTAGTGCTTCCTTGATAATGAAAAATGTTGATACTATAGCCCATAATCTAGTGGGCGTTCACCCACTTTGGGAAACACTGGGCTATAGTATAATGCCATTACTTTGTAGTTTTGTGTACAAATCAATGGTCTTGGTATTTGTAGGTGTTTTTAAATCTAATTTTTTTTAGTTAAAACTTTTTAAAGGTCCATGATTATAGTTCTGTAGTTCTGAAAGTTATGCTATTTTGTATGAATGTAGTTTACTTCAAGCCAGTTTGAATTTTGTAACTTAAAATATCTACTTAATTCATATCAGATTATGAATGCTCATATTTTGGTGCTGATATCTTTTGTAATAATTTATTTTTGGTAAAAATGTATATATACACAACAAAACCTACATACTCATTCAACAATTTTCTACATGTACAATTTAGTGACATTGGTTACATTCTTCATGTTTCATCATCATTCTTGCTTTCTCTACCCATATTATTTCACCACTGCTAATTTAGAATCACTACTCCCTTAACTTCTCTTGCTAGACTTATTGGTGTCAGTTTTATCTTATATAGAGAATTCCTTAACAGAGTGTAGTGTTTTAAGGTGTGAGCATTTTACTAACTGAGCTATATTGTTTAATTTCAAGATTACTTAAAGATTATTTCAGAACAATAGATTTGGGAGTTTTTCATGGGCCCAGTAAGCCTGGTATTTCTAGGGATTTGAAATTGTGTTCCACATTTTCCAACTTTTGTTTAGGACCCATCTATTGAATCTTTTATCAGAATAATCAGTAATGATAGCTGGTCATCATTCATTTCCTCTTCTCTTGGCAAAGGAGGCAATTTGAAGGTCAGTTAGATCTTCAGTGAGCTTCCTTGTCCAATTCATGGGTCTCCTCCTACCTCTGCTGCTCCAGGCAAATGGAGACCAGTTATCTTATCTTGGATAAAGTTTTTAGGCCCCAGGTACCATTCACTCATCTAGGAGATAGAACAGAAACTCTAAAACTAAAATTAGGCCACTTGCCTGGATTGTCCCATGAAACCATCACTCTACACCATGGAACCAAGAAATTGAATCCCTTGAGGTGTTTAATTATACTTAAGTAGCATCAATAACTGCATTCTTTTAACACATTTACCATTTCACCTTTTTTTTCCTGGTGTACTACTTATGAGTTACATACTTTGGACATATTGTCAGGAGAGACCAGTCCCTAAAGAAGGACATCCTGTTCGGTAAAGTGTGGAGGGGCAGTGAAAAAGAGGAAGACCCTCAGTGAGATGACTTGACACAGTGGTGGCAATAATTGCCTCTGGTATAGGAACGATTGTGGCACAGAACTGGGCAGTGTTTATTCTGTTGTGCATAGGGATTGCGATGGGTTAGAAATGACTAGTTGGCACCTAAACAACTTACATATTAGGCTGGTAATCATAAGGTCAGCAGTTTGAATCCACCAGTCCCCTCAAGGGAGAAAGGAGAGGCTCTGCTCCTATAAAGATTTACAACCTTGGGGACCCACTTGTGTATTTCTACTCTGTCCTATAGGTTACTATGAGTTGAAATCAACTTCATGTCAGTGAATTAGTTACTTAGTAATGCCAATTAGTCGAGCTATGTAAGCACTGCCCTTAATTGATGTCATTTTCCCCATCATTATAAACAAAAATTACACTAATTCCCAGGGAACAATTCCCTGTTTCCCTCCCTCCTACCCTTAACTACAACCATTGGGCTGTATATGCCTATTCTTGTCATTTATTTAGATCATACAATATTTGCCCTTTTGCAATTGACTTAGAACATTCAACATAATATATTTTTTAACAGTTTTATTTGCATTTATCTCCACATGTCATACAATTCAATAATTCAATCCCATCTGGAAGAGTTGTACAATTGTCATCATATTCAATTTTAGAATATTTTCTTCTTCCCTGTAGTCATTCATGCAATTATTATTGTTTTCTTCTAATTGTAGCAATAATATACACAACAGAACATTCTCTAATTCAGGGGTCCTCATACTTTTTAAACAGGGGGCCAGTTCACTGTCCCTCAGACCCGTTGGAGGGCCGGACTATAGTTTTAAAAAAAAACATGAACAAATTCCTATGCACACTGCACATATCTTATTTTGAAGTAAAAAAACCAAATAGGGCTAAAACATCCAGCGGGCAGGATAAATGTCCTCGGCAGGCTGCATGTGGCCCGTGGGCCATAGTTTGAGGATACCTGCTATAATTCCACGACTTCTGCTTAAATAATTCAATGTCTCTGATTATACTCTTTATGTTACACAGCCACTATTGATAATGCAAATTATTCTGCCACCATTGATCAACATAATATTTTTGAGGTTCATCCATGATGTAGCATATATCAAGATTTCATTTCTCTTTTTTTGGCTGGCAGTTTTCCTAAAGGTCGCACAGTTGTTAAGCACTCAGCTGCCAATCAAAAGGTCAACAGTTCCAGTCCACCAGCTGTTCTGCAGGAAAAAGATGTGCCTGGCTGCTCCCATAGAGATTAAAACACTCAAAACCACATTCACTGCCATCGTGGGTTTCCAAGACTGTAACTGTGTACAGGAGTGGAAAGCCCTGACTTTCTCTCCCACAGAAGCTGGTGGTTTTGAACTGCCAATTATGTGAATTAACAGCCCAATTTGTAACCTCTAGACCACCAGGGCTCTTTCCATAGAGGTTACAGTCTTGGAATCATACAAGGCAGCTCTGCTCTTTCCTATAGGGTTTCTATGTGCCAGAATTGACTTGGTGATAGGAAGTTTTTTTTGTTTTGTTTAGTATTCCATTGTATGTTCAAGAGAGTTTAACATTTTTCCATGCACTTTTTGAAGCTCCAAATTTTTCTTATCAATTTATTTGTTGAATACTTCTTTCTACCTTTTAGTTATTGTGACTGGTGCTGAAGTGAGCGTAGGTGTATATCTATCTGTTCGTGTAGCTACTTTTAGGTCTTAAGGGTATATATTTTCCCAATAATTTGATCTCTTCTGGCTCTGTACACTGATGGATGGGCTTTTGAATTCAGTTCATGATTATTACTGCCTCCTTCATTGGCATTGCATTTTCTTTCTGAGGGGCTTAGGGAATCTTGTGGCTTTGATTGACCTGTGAACATAGTGGTGACCCTGAGGAGTGCATCGTCTTCTCTGGATCTCAGCTAATTCCACCCCTATTTGCTGACATCTGCTGAGAAATCTGCACCCCTCTCTTCTTCATTTCTGTGACCCACTACTCTCTGTTTCCATGCCTTCTTGTCACACTTGGAGGGCCCTTTCGGGCCCCTGCTCCCCCAGCCAGCATCTATAGCCCTCCTGTGCTCAGTTGGGGCCAACACAGTCTCTTGGACCTTCACAGCCGATATCAGGGAACTTCAACAAGTTCATAGAAATATTTCCATATCGTTGGATTGTTTTTCCATGAACTTTTTGATGCTCCTTCATATATATCTGCTTTATAAAGGCTATTTAGTAATAGCCTTTGTGTTAGTATTTTATTTTTTGTAAGAAAACAAGCCTCCTATGTTATGCTCATCTCTTAATTTATCCTACAGAGTAATGAAGTGTATTAGAATAGTATAGTTGATTTATTTAGCAAATTTATAACATGTTATAATATTTTTCCAGTATAATAAAGATTTTATTTTTAATTTAAATCTTTACAAGTTGGTTTTTTTCTGCTACGTTAGAGTTAAAATTTATATTGAATTTTAATACTACCTTTATTATAGGGATTAAGGAATAAACCAAAGAAAACGGCACATGTGAAACCAGACCTCATAGATGTTGATCTTGTAAGAGGTGAGTCTTGGCATTGGGCCTCTACTCAAGTACTCCCTCAATGCAAGAATACTTTCTTCTCTTAAATTGACATTCTATGATGCTCACCTTCCTGACACAACTGCTGAAGACAAAGCAGGTGAATAAGCAAATGTGGTGAAGAAAGCTGATGGTGCCGGCTATCAAAAAATATAGTGTCTGGGGTCTTAAAGGCTTGAAGGTAAACAAGCGGCCATCAAGCTAAGAAGCAACAAAGCCCACATGGAACAACATATCAGCCTGTGTGATCACGAGGTGTCGAAGGGATCACTGAAGACAAATGGGTGCATAAGCAAATGTGGCGAAGAAAGCTGATGGTGCCCGGCTATCAAAAAGTATAGC